CTACAGCGTCCTCCTTAAACGACCTTATGCATATACCAGATACGAGTCAACCATATGATCTTTATACATTTCACATTACAGTACCCGTTGTTCTTCATGAAAACCAACGATCATCAGCATCTTTTGTATCTATTCGTGGCCCTTCAAAATATTCGGCTAATAGCCTCTTGAAAAGTGATGTTCGTGGTCCTTGGTCCCACCATCCTAGTGGGAAACCTCAATCTAAGGAAAGTGTTCAACTTCCAACGGGGATATCATCGTCTATTTCGATTCTTTCAAATACAACTTCATCAAAACCTTCTCAGAGACCTTGGTTTTGGGTCACAGATTGGCAGATTGATCTTACTCATCCACGTGTAGACTTACAAGGGTGGCAATACTCTAAAAACTTTGATGATCCTGACGTACATTGGACTGCATCACCACAATCAAACAGTAGTGGTTGGGTCCGAAGGAGGAGATGGGTGCGTGTTATGAAACGTCGTATGGATCTCACTGAAAGTGGATTACAGCTTGTTTCAAGTAGTGAAAACGATACTCCGGATTATATTGAAAAGGCTGAATCTATTGTTAAAAAAAATTCTGATAATAATAGTAAAGGAAAGGCCGTTGACCTTTCATATTTTGACCAGCTAGCAAGGTATAGAGAAGCGATTGAAATTTTATCATCAGGAATTAAAAGTATTCATAATTTTATTTCTTATATTCTAGTTAATATAAATTTATCATTATAATAATAAATTTATTTCAATTTTATAGCCGATCAAAATGTACAACGAAAATCAGAAGCCATATCTCTAGTTAGCAGCTTTATGCAACATGCAGAATATTTAGAGAATTTGGTAAAGGGAATGGATGCTCCTCCACGAAGTCCAAGTCTCCATGATGTTCCAATAACTCCAAATTTGTCAAAGTCTCCATCCCCCACTCCAACACCATTTCGGTCAGATATCTTACCAAAGTCCCCAAAAATAACTGATACGGGTACAATTACTAATCTTAGAGCACCATCAACTGCAAGCTTTGAGACGATTGAGAATCCTTGGACCAATGCTGTTCAAAGTGAAGATGTAGGTATTACTCAACCATCGATTTATGAGAATATTGTGTCCCCCACCAGAGTACATCCTCAAACAAGTGTCAACATGACGAATGTCCCTGGACATTCTATATCTACGGGTTATAAGTGGGAAAATGATGAAGATGTAAATGAGTGTCGCCGTTGTAAAGTTAGGTTTAGTATGTTTGTTAGAAAACATCATTGCAGGTCTGTATTAAGCTTATTAATATTAGGATTAAGCAATTGCATGCCTTATATTATGCAAAATTTGGTCTTTAACAGTTGTATATCCTCTAA